TATTCCATTTGATTAAATAAATAAATAAATAAATAAATAAATAAATGGACTCCTGATGCCAAAAAACCCCCTATAGCATATTTTTGTACAGCACTGTAAAGCACTGCTTTACGACACTACAGCAAAATGCTAAGAAACCTATTTTCGCAATTTGGCAAACGCCAAATTGATTTTCTTAGAATTACACCTAGAATCTTTATGTGCTATACGCGCATAGTCCCATACAAATTGACCCGCCCTAATGCATACATAAATGTGTATATGTAAATCTACCACATTGTTTTGGAATCTACCACAATTTTTAAGGCTTATCTACCACTAAAAATAAATTACAGTCCGCACACTGAGTGAAAGGCCTCTTGACTCTCAGGAAGGCCGTTCGAATGGAATTTTTAATTCCTGAAGTTATACGCTAGGTTATAAAATGATATATTGCACGTTCACAACTCGAATTCTTTTTTTTATTTTTATTTTTTGTCTGTAGTCCCGCAAATACCGCGGATCCCACATGTGTAATACCTCATTTTTGATCTCGAAAAAATGGCGCGGCATCCCGCCTTTACGGGATTGGATTCCCTACATATGTGTATGTAATACATACCTACAACACCAATTGACGGGGTAAAAAAAGTTCAAAGACATAAATATCTGCACATATATATATATAACTATACAAGTATACATATACTTACAACTCACGCGCTTTAGAATTTCAATTACAAAAAAAAACATCTTCCTGAAAATAATATTACCCTTTCTCTCTCCTTTACAGCGATCTCTCATGGACGTAAAATTTCCAACCGTCTTACCACCGAATCCCCAACTTAAGGTGAGTGAGTGCGAATGACTTTCATTTTACCCAAGTTTATAAATTTGCCCTTAAAAAAAATATTTGCCATAATTTATGAATTAAATAATACGCGCTCGTTTCTCCCATCGCTCGTACAGGCTTTATTGGTTTTCCACAAGTCGGATAATATCTGCGAAGTGGTAACGGAGGCATGTCATCGACAGCAGCTCGATGTAACGGTGGCGCGTACCAAAGAGGGTGCTCTCGAGACCTTGTCCAGCACCAGTGAGGAGTTTTATCATTTAATCATAATTGACGCACGCTCTACAAAACATTTGGATGCTGAGTATATAGCCAGGTGGGTAATATACATATGTATATGCAGGTGTAGTAAATGATCAAAAAGTGCATCAACGATGTTGGTGCACATACATACACACATAACTACCAGCATATTTTCACGCACATGTACATACTTGTTTGTGTTCATACACCCACGGAAAGTATTTCGTTATGCCGTGCTCTCATCGTCACATAAATCATTGATACCAAACAATACGTGTATATACTTATGTATGTACATATGTATGTACATACTTAAACTTTAGCAAACCTACCTCAAGAACAGCATCATTTATAGACATAATAAAGTAATAAATAAATGTATTTGATACAGTTTTTTCTTATACATTAATTAATTTTTCTGGTGACTAAAATTCACCGCTTTCACTTCAGGTCGATACGTCACACAAAGGGCCATCATTTTACGACAATAATTGCTGTGGTTAAAAAGAGGTAAGTGAGTGATTAGCTTAAATATGCATTTCCACTATTTTACTTTACAAGTTATCGTGTGATCAAGCAGTTATGTATATTTTATTTTAAAAATCAGTTCATGACTCAGTTTGACATGGTAGCGTAGATACCATCATTTGAAATCTTGAGCTTTTGGTCTCTGAGATATTGGACAGTATTTTATAGTCAATTACATTTCTGGTAATTTAAAAACTGGACTTGAAAACTTTGGTTATTTAAAAACGAGCATATATATTTGGTAATTCCAAAATTGGATTTTTTGGACATAATTTTTAGGCATTTTAAAAACTAAATCGTAAACTGGACAAACATATTTCTAAATTAATCACTGTACATAAATCTGTGTTCATATGGAAAAGTAGCTTATGTCGAAAGGCTGGCTTTAGTATAAATCGGCATTCACAGCATACGATTGCGAATGACTCACTGGCGGTGAGCCGTTGAGCAACTTTTGGCAAATAAACGTGCAAGAAATAGTTCCGATACTAGGAAGTCCATATTCTTATTAAGTCTCATTCAAAAATTCCTTGTCGTTTAAAGAATAAACGGAATGCCGCATTATACTAAAGCCAGCCTTTTGACATAAGCTACTTTTCCATATGAACACAGA